CCTTAGAAAGCCAATGAAATTCCCTGGAGAAGAGTGAGTGCGTAAAATCTCCCCTTGAGTCTGCAGCTCCCAGGGGTTCTACACTCTTAGGCTAGCTCACAGTTGGCCTTTAGCAATTTGTTAAAAGGTTACCCTGAATTCTTCTTACCCACTTGTGCAGATCCCTGCCTTCTCCTGAGTTCTGCGCCAGGTGAGTCAGTGCTCGACCCTTCTCGGAGGCCCTTGTTTTTCTTAGATTTCAGGTTACTTGGTTGACCTGCATCCTGGCTTTCTGATGGGTTCAAGAAGCTCTGTATTATCCAGATGTTTCTTATTGCTAGAGTGGAAACAGCACACTTCCAAGCTGTCTACATTGTATCAGAAGCTGGAAGGTGTGTGAGTCTCTGGGTAACCCACCTCTGCTGGACACCTGGACCAGATCAGGCCTGGAGAAGCCTCCCGCTGCCAACCTCACATACCCCAGGTCCTGTGTCCATTATCCTGAAGAAGTTATATTGTTTTGTATTCAGGGTGAGGTGCTCACCTGTAAGAAATACATTTTTGCTGTGGTTTTTTGGAATCTGCTGCAGTCAGGCCTCTCATCACTTCTGCTTCTCTCTTCACTTCCTCCAGGGCTCTCTGGTTTGTCCCAGCTGCCCTTACCTTTGACAACCTTTACATGAATTATGGAGACTATAAATGAGGCTTTATTGAAAATGGACTTTACAAAGATATTTTCATTCTATTTTTTGCTTATTATGAATTCCAAGAGAGGGGAAAGATGCTGATGCATAGAGCCATTTTTGTTTTGGAAATCCCATTTTAATGTCCCTTCATTGGTTAAGCAAGTTTCCGATCTATAATTTGATCTGTGAACTTAAGCCACAGGAAGGAGTTCTTAGGGATAACTAGATATTGTTTATGATATGATGACTCCCTTTATAAATCAGTAAGTTGACATCCTAGGTTTGAAATATGTAAATTAGACACTTGTGGATTTGAGTAATTTGAAACTCTTCTCCAGGAAGCATTCCCAGCTCCTCCCAAGCTACCCCCACCCCACCCAGTGTTCCTGGAGTACTTGGTGAAACTCTTTCATACCACTAGCAGATTGTATTCTCTGTTTATGAGCCTGCATCACTAACTAGTCATCTTTGCATGATCAACATCTAGACCAACGTCTGAAACGCAAGTGCTCAAAAACCTGATCAGTCTGGTTTCTTCACAGTTTATATCCAACGCTCTGTTCCCCAACTCATTGGGTGAGTAAAGAGACAGCATCCCACAGCAAATTATCAATGAAGACTATAACTCCCTAAAGGGGGCAGGGGTGCCTCAGTAGTAGAATTCTCACTTTCCATGTGGGACACCTGGGTTTCATTCCCTGCCAGTGCACTTCATGCACAGCCACCACCCCTCTGTCAGCGGAGGCTTGTGAGTTGCTGTGATGCTGAACAGGTTTCAGCGGTGCTTCTGAACTAAGATAGATGAAGAAAAAGGCCTGGTGATATGCTTCCAAAAATCAGTCTATAACAACCCTATGGATCACAACGGTCTGATTCTCCTTCTGCATGGGGTCACCATGAGTCAGAGGCTGATACCAAGGCAGTTAACAACAACAAGACAGAAAACCTAAATGTTGAACTCCCACGTGTGGTCAGGCACGAACCACAGGACTCTCAGCACTGGGCTTGTGGATAATGGCCAGAGGCGAGTGGTTCTGGGAATGAACGCCTCCAGGCCTATATGGTCAGTGTTTTTGGAGGAAAACAGATCCATGTCTGAGTAGGCAACCCAACAGGCAATATTAAATTGATCAACTGAAGTGGAGAACACTAGGCTTGTAGTCAGGAAGTAGAGCTTCTCCCCAGCTCTGCCCTGACTTAACTGTGACCTAAGAGGCAGGCAATCTCTTAGAACTTTTGTCTTGTTATTGCTTAAATGAAGAGAATTGTATCGATGATCTCTAATATCCCTCCTAACATTATATTGGTAATTACCAAACCGAGAAACCAAACTCTTTGCTGTCAAGTTGAGTCTGACTCATAGTGACCCTATAGGACAGGGTAGAACTGCCCCATAGGGTTTCCATGGCTGTAACCTTTACGGAAGCAGACTGTCACAACTTCCTCCCATAGAGCAGCTGGCGGGTTCGAACAGCTGACCTTTGGGTTAGGAGCTGAGCGCTTAACCACTGTGCAACCAGGGTCCCTAAATTCGCGATTACGCAGTATGAAATTATTCATTATCTAATTATAATGGAAGATAATTCAGACATAAAAAGGGAATCATGGCCAACCACTTTAGCAACAAAAACATTTCCTTCATGTCCATCTGTAAGTCTTCCTCTCATGTACCAGCTTTCCAGTCAGACAAACTGGGTACAAATCTGGCTTTGTGAATTGGTAGATGCATGGCCTTGGGAAGTTTAGTTATCTTTCAGTTTCTTCATCTTAAAAATGGGCTTTATAAGAGTTTCTGCTTTATTGAACTGTTCGGGGGATAGATAGAGCATGCAGCTATTACAGAACCTGGAATATGGTAGGCATCCGGTTGATGTCAATGTTTATCTTCTTTGCCATCAGGCAGCAGAAGCAGTGGCAGTATCCTTCCGGGCTTACACTGTCTAGCTTTGCTTGCACACGGAATCATGGCCATCCTACCTTCAGCCACACCTTCTTAAATCTCAGCTGTCATTTTATCAGTTCTAAAATGTTCATGGATTCCAGGGCAGGGAGGCACTACTCTTCCCTGTTTGATTTATGTCTCCATGACAGTATTTGAAACAGCGTTTTAGGAAGCTGTGCGCGGATGTGCATAGTAAGCCTATGAAGGGCATTTATAAGTCCTGGATCACAGACTAATCCCCTGTGATTTGAAAATATCCACTTATGAGCCTATATTTATGATGCATTCTACATCTCCCAGTAAATTTTTATCTCATCGTCATACCCAAAGCCTGGCACTGCAGGAAGTGTTACCAAAAACCAAAACCAAACCTGTTGCTGTTTAGTTGATTTCAACTCACAGCGACCCTATAGTGACCCCTAGGACAGAGTAAAACTACCCCATAGCGTTCCCAAGGAGCGGCTGGTGGATGCGAACTGCCGACCACTTGGTTAGCAGCCAATCTCTTAACCACTGTGCCACCAGGGCTCTGTTGGCAGAATAACTGGCTCTAAATTTGACATATATGCAAGCTTCCTCTCCATCCCTCCCTTTGGGGGTCAGCAGAGCCCAGGGACCCCTGAGCACTTATCTAACTGGAACTCTGCCGTATTCGTGCAGTTGTATATTTGGGTGGTGGGGGCTTGGGAAGAAAAGGAAAGCCCCCCCCCAAAAAAAAAACTACCATTTGTTCCATCTAGAACGTGCTCTGGAGAATACAGAATGAGGATGTAGTGATAAGCTTTGTCAGTGCTGGAGTGCACGTCTCCCCTTGGTAGAGGTAGGGACCCCAGGAAGTTCTTCATTTGCTGCTTCAGCACTGCCTTGAAGGTGATTGATGCACTCCTGGACAAGCTTAAACATTACTGCAGGGAAGCAAACATGCATACAATGTACCACGTATTACCTGCAACTCACCTAAAGGGGGACCTCCCTTCAGCCGGACCTCTGTCCAAATTAGAATGTAAGAAATACAAGCTCTTGTTTTTCTAAAATTATTATTAGACAAAAATATATAGGCAAGAAAATCCTTCTTAGGAATGAAGCAACTGAAATTACATTAGTAGTTTCAAATGAAACATACATTATTGTATCCAAAATTTCAGATGGTATGTGTCTCTGGTGTCTACAAGGACCTTAGATTCAACACGTGCAAATCTAAACTCATGATCTTCTCTCCAAAACAAAATCTTCTTCCATCCTTCAGTTGGCTAGGCCAGAAACTTGGTTCTACCTCTTTCTACCTCCACATCTAATCTGTTGCCAAAATTCTGAGGCTGTTACTTCCGACACAATTCTCACATGCGTTTTTTTCTCTCTCTTTCCATCCCCAACACTTGATGGTTTCCTAGTTATCTCGCTGTATCCACTCTATTTTTTCCTCTAGTCTTATTTATATCATAGTAGGCAGAGATACTATGAGATAGGAGCCTTGGTGGCGCAGTGGTTAAGAGCCCGGCTGCTAACCAAAATATTGACAGTTCGAATCCAGCAGTCACTCCTTGGAAACCCTATGGGACAGTTCTACTCTGTCCTATAGGGCCGCTATGAGTTGGAAACAACTCGATGGCAACAGGTTTGGTTTTTGGTTTAGGCAGAGATAGGTGTCCCTGGATGGTGCAACTGATTAAGTGCTTGACTACTAGCAGAAAAGTTGGCAGATCGAACCTACTAGAAGGTGCCTCACAAGAAAGGCCCGACAATCTACTTTCAAAAGCTCAAAGCCATGAAAACCTTATTAAGCATAGTTCTACTCTGACACACATGGGGTCGCCATGAGTTGGAGTAGACTTGATGGCAACTGGTTTTACTGGTTTGAGGCAGACATATATATACATATTTTTCTAAATTTTATTTACTTTTTAATTGTTGAGAATACACACAACAAAACATGCACTAATTCAGTTTCTACATGTATATTTTAGTCACATTGATTATACTCTTCAAGTTGTGCAACCGTTCTCACCCTCCTTTTCTGAGTTGTTCTTCCCTCAACATTAACTCACTGCCTCTTGAGGATCCTATTTAATCTTTCAACTTGCTGTTGTCAGTTTAATTCCATATAGATAGTTCTTAAAAGAGCACAGTGCTCAGGGCAACTTTTTTTTTACTAGTTAAACTAAGCTATTGTTCCGTTTTAAGATGACTTTAGGGGATATTTTTGGTTTAAGGTTTAAAGATTATATCAGGGCAATAGTTTTCAGGCGTTCATCCACCCTCCATGCCTCCAGAAAGTCTAGAGTCCATGAGAATTTGAAATTCTGTTTTGCATGTCTCCCCTTTTAATCAGGATTCTTCTATAGAATCTTTGATCAAAATGTTCAGTAATGGTAGCCAGGCACTATCCAGTTCTTCTGGTCTCATATTAAAGGAGGCAGTTGTCCATGGAGGCAATTAGCCACACATTCCATATCTTCCTCCTATTCTTGACTCTCTTTTCTCTTCTATTGCTCCAGGTGAATAGAGACCAAGTGAGGCAGATGTATATTTTCAAGATGCAGATATGAGCATGTGATTCCTCTCTTTAAACAACAAACAACAAACAAAACGTATAATGAATTTCTATTACTTTTTGAATAAAATAAAAAGTTCTTAGTTTGGGCTACTAGGCCCTCATTTTCTGGGCCCCGCCTATCTCTCAGGCCTCATTATCTCCTAACCTTGTTTTGAATTTTGCTTTCTGTATGGTTAATATATTTCCAAGTTACCTTTTCTATGTGTGGTTGGCCACTTGCAGTTTGTTTAAAAGAAAGAGGAAAATAAAAAGAAAAAGGAAAGAAAAAAAATAATTTGATGAAATCAGTTTTATTGATGTATGTATTTTATAGAATCACAAGCTTTAGAACTATAAAGGTTCCAGGTATCACCCAATTTCAAAGAAATGTAGGTGTCTAGGTTAATAAGTTTACGGAGCAGGTATTATTTGAATTGTTTTGTTTTTATAGAGTCACAAGCAGAATGATATTTCAAATTTAGAAGATACAGCGTTGAAATATTCCTTTGTCTTTTTTTGAAGTTGAACATTTTGTCCTAAAGGGAATTTTCACAGGAAAAAATTATGTTTGGAAAGAGAGGTAGGCAGACATGCTATTTCAACCATTAAATTCTTTGTGTTGACTGTGAGATACATAAAGAAAATGAATGAAAGGGAATCTGTAATTTCTAGCAGTCATTTTACTGCAACAACTCTGAGCTTTTCCAAATGTAGTGACAGGCTAGCAGCACCTAAGGGGAAGATAATCTGCCAAAGAAGAGGATGCTGTTGGTCTTTTGCTTGATGAAGAACGTGAAAGGGTGATCACAACAGAAAGTTTCATAAATGGGTATGGATGTTGGAAGAATTTCCACGCTGGTGCTGGCGGCTACAGCCTGGGTCCCATCTTCATTCACCTCCACAAAGGAATTGTGTAGGACTTTAGACATCATGAGATATTGGCTCCCGGTCACGCCCAAGAAGTCAGCATCCTGTGGACTAAAGGTGTCCACCATGCCTAGGGCTCTCAGCATGGCTTTGAGGTCATAGCTTCCTTCACTTTGAACTGAGGTAAGAATAAGTCCACATCTATCCTGTGCATACTCGATGAGCTCATCCACTCTAGTAATTTCTCTGCGATGAGTGTATCTTCAATCTATAAAAATGGCAAAAAGGAACCGACATGATTATCAATGGACACCTAACACAGCATTGAATTGAATCAGGTGGAAAACTTTTATTTTAACAATAAATATAAAATGTAGAAGGTTCGTTTAGTAGATATATTTTATTCTAGTGGGCAAAAACTCACAATGTCGGGAACGACAGAAGCTGGAAGAGGCAAGGAATGAGGAATCCTTCTTAGGGCCTTCAGAGAGAGCATGGCCCTGCTGACACCTTGATTTCAGACGTCTAGTTCCCAGAACTGTGAGATAATAAATTTCTGTTGTTTTAAGTCACCCGCTTGTGGTACTTTGTTATGGTGTTATGGCAGTCAAAGGAAACTAATACACAGAGCCATTACATTAAATTAGTTTGTAAAGGATGACATATATATCACTATCCCTTATGCCCATAGCCTACTTACTGCACAAGTCGTTTTTAAGTAGCCTCGTCTTATTATGGTCCCTGTGCACATATTTTTTTACATAGTGCAATTGTAATTTACACTCTATTTTTGTCCCATTTTTTTTGCTTGACACATTTGTAAACTTTTCCCAGATTACTATGTATTATTCTCAATCATCTCTAAATTGTTATGAAATAATATCATCAACTTGCTATTCAATGCATATGACTTTGTGTAACTAATATTTATTAAGCACGTTGCTGTGCTGGGCCCTGTGCTAAACCACTGTAATACGAAGATGCACCTTTGTTCCTTGTTTCAGAATTTTCATTATTTTGAGCTGCCTTGGAGCCCTGGTTAGCACTTGGCTGCTAACTGAAACGTCAGTGGTTCGAAGCCACCAGTCGCTCCCTGGGAGAGAGATGTGGCAATCTGCTTCTGTAAAGATTACAGCTTTGGAAATCCTGTGGGGCAGTTCTTCTCTGTCCTACAGGGTCATTATGAGTTGGAATTAACCTGACGGCAACGGGTTTGGTCCAAAACCTTTGCCTTGTTTAGACATGTTACCTTAGCTTAAAACGTCAGGGCTGGGATTACTGATGTTTGATAACCGAGACCACTGAGCTAGAGTATGAACATTGTAATGGCTCTTCACACATATTGCCATATTACTTCCCCAGGGATTTCTAATTTCCAGTGTTATCAGTACTATATGAGTGTAGCAGGCTCATTGCAAGCAACATCAGCAGCATCGCTGGGATGTCTTTTATATGCCAGATACTGTTATTATTGTTTTTGTACACTGTGTTTAATCATGATACAACACTAGAGGAAACTTTTATTAATCCATTTTTCACTCCCAGGGATGAGGCTCAGGATGACTTTTGAGTTCCTCAGGTCAGAATACTTCTAAACTGAATAGTAAGCCTTCAAAATAAATCTATTTGTCCACTGTCCACTAAACCACCTTGATTTAATTAGTGCAAGATGGCTCCCCCTCATATTTTCATTTTGCTTGGTTTTGATTGTGGGTGAACTTGCAGTTTTTCCATATGCTTTCTAACTCTCTGTCTTGGGTTCCTTGTCTTAAAATGAATGGACTGAATTATATCAGAGATTCTTAAGGTTGAAAAATTTTATGTGTGTATGCATGGGTATATTTTATTTTGCGGAGAGATTCCATAGTTTTCATCAGGATGTAAATGGAGCCTGTGAAGTTACAATTTTCTCTGTATTCTTCCATATCAGACTACGATAACCAGTTGCTGTTGAGTCGATCCTGACCCATAGTGAGCCTATGTCAGAGTAGAACTGTGCTCCATAAGGTTTTCAATGGCTGATGTTTTGGAAGTAGATCACCAGGGCTTTCCTCCAAGGTCCCTCCAGGTGAACTCAAACCGCCAACCTTTTGGTTAGCTGGTGAGCGTGATAACCATTTGCATGATATTTACTTTTTTGCAATGAGCCAGGTTCTCCTTAACAATTCTCCTTCAGGCTATATGCAGAGAAGAAACAATATATTCTAAATTTGAGCTCTGCCAGTTACCACTTCCAAGCTGTGAGCATTGCTTCGATGAACAGCTCACACAAGCATTGTAGTATTAGGAAGTTGGGCAACAGAATGAAAAATTGGAGGCACAAGTTTTATCTTTTTCAGACTGTCTACTTCATTTGGCAGCAGCACAAACATGCTAAGTCTTTGCCTTTGTATAGTATTTCCAGCATCTTGGCCTACACGTCCTCCAGGAAGGCAAAATTGAAGGACTTCTTTGCTTCATTATCTGCACGGATTTGCTCGTATCCTACAACAAATTAATGTGACAAATAAAAGCCTCTGCGTTACTGGCCTCTGCATCCCACATTACTAGTTGTGACAGCAAAAAATGTCTCTCCAGGTATGATTGCCAAATGTTCCCCTGAGGCAAAATAGTCCCTGGTAGAGAATCACTGGTTTAGAGAATGTTTAGGAAAGAAAATTCTATCAAAATGAAATTATTTTTGACTCATAAACCTAGATCATAATTATCTTCTACCAGACTGTGAACTCCTTGAGTGTAAGTTCCATATTTTATTTACATTTATCTCCCTAGTATAAATTCAGTACCTAGCATAAGGTAGGTACTCAATAAATGCTCGCTGATTTGAAATGAGTGTTACACCCACACTGTGAAACTTTGTCCAAAAGCTTTTATTGATGGCAGTGTGGAAAAGACATTTGATTCAATTTAGATTTTTAGTGGATAATGTTTATTGAAGAGCAACTGTTTGCAACCAGGGAGTCTCCTCTTGGAAGAGATGAGCTCGCCAGATCACGATTTTAATCAGTTTATATACACACTACAAACAGGAAATTTCTAAAGGGGAAGTCATGATGGTTGGTTGACATTTGCTTAGTTGGTAGAAGGCGGGCTATCAAAAAACGGGCCTTTGGTTTGGATTGGTTTATTAAGGTTGGTTTGGATTGGTTTATAGATCTGCAGCCTATAGGTTAGTTTGAGCTTTTCTAATCATTTGTGGTTAGGTGTTTTCCAGTTTGGTTATTTAAAAAAAAAAGCTTAGCTGACTAGAATGTGTAGGTGACTTCCCAGCACTGTCCTTATCAGAGATTCCCAGTTTCTTGGAAGGGTTCAAGTTGAGTTCAAATAAGGGATCATTTTTCTTTTAACAATAGTCCTCTACTTACAAGTAGATTGCATTCTATAATTTTCCTTTGTTACTGTTTCAAGTAGAAATATTGTTCACCCATAATTGACCTGACTTACAGCTATGACAAATTCAGAACTCAAATCGTTTTGCGTGTATTTGTATGCATTGAGGCAGATTCTTTTCTGACTCCTGGTTTTCTGGGAGGAGGTCACTGTGACTCTGAGCAGTGAACAGCAGAGCTGGAATTTGAACCCAGACTGTCTAGCTCTATAACCCATGCTCTTAAGCACAAGGCTGACTGCCCCTCAATAAAACAAAAATAAGAAGCCCCGCTTTTAGATAGCCCCCCTTCTACCTGCTAAGCAAATGTTAAGCAATCACTTTGATTTCGCTTTGGAAATCTCTTAACTGTTTGTACGTGACATGAAATGCGAAACCACTGTATGAGCCCATCTTTTTTGCTCAAGAGTATCCTGAAAACAAATTGGCATTTTCACAGTTTCTGTGACGTTCCCGTCAGTTTCATCTCTGACCTCCTTGGATATCCGAGGCTACTTCTAGACTTAGTTGCTGTGTGACTCACATGCCCTTTTGTAGCTCCTGCTGTTGTGTGCTCTGTGACTTCATCAAGTGAAGGACATGAAGAAAGGAAGAAAAGATCGGTCAACATACAACACTCCCCACAAACAAACAAAAAACTCCAGTGTAAGAGTTTTCTCTTTGAAAATACACACACACACACACAATCATCAACAAAAAAATTTCAGTGTAAAAGTTTTCTCTTTGGGGAAACAAGACAAAACAAAAAACACAGGAAAGCTGGTTTCTCACCAGCTACTTTAAAAGAACCCTTCCTTCCTTCTGTCCTTCCTTCCTTCCTTCTGTCCTTCCTTCCTTTCTTCTGTCCTTCCTTCCTTCCTTCCTCCCTCCCTTCTTCCGTTCCTTCCTTCCTGTCTCCCTCCCAGCCTCCCTCCCTCCCTTCCTTCCTTCTTTCCTTCCTTCCTTCTTTCCCTCTCTTCCTCTCTCCCACCATTTTTTCCTGAGCAAGCATTTGATGATGTGATAATGTTTCCCACTTATTTAAGTCAATGCCTCGCCTCTACCAGTAGGCTTCACATTTTAACCTCACCTCTAATTGTTGGGAAATTGTAGGAGGCCACCTTAGCTTCCTAAGGAAGTTCAGACCTAGGCCAGTAGATGGGGGTGGAGTATTTGGGGAGGATTGCCTTCCCCCAGCACCCAGCACTCACCCCTTCATGGAGCCTGTCTGCTCAGCCTCCTGTGCCAGGCCAGCCAGAACGGTGAGCAGACAGAGAAAATCCCATCCCAACAGGTAACCCTAAAGGAAGCCAACACCTACCTCCTCCATGTGTAAGGCAGTGGTGTTTCGTCCACCTAAACAGACCATGAATAACGCAGATGATATGCTTAGCAGGGAGAAGAAGATGTTGCCCTCCTTTCACTTTCTCATCTGTTGGAACAGATCAAACCCAGGTGGGTATTTGCTTCACTAAGTGAATCCATGGCCCCCTTGGGTGCTCTGGAACCCTGGGAAAACATCAGATGCATTTTATAATGGCTTTGCCGGACAGAACATTATTCTGAACTGAATTTTTCTTAAAGGAAAATGACTTATATCCAGGTAGGGAACTTAACAGCAATGAAAGTTTTTGTTTTTACTTTTCAAGACTTCCACAATGAAGAGGTATTAATTTCATAACCGGGAGACTTAGTAACACTGGAGCCCTGGTGGTGCAGTGGTTAAGAGCTACGGCTGCTAACCAAAAAGTTGGCAGTTTGAATCCACCAGCCACTCCTTGGAAACTCTATGGGGCAGTTCTACTCTGTCCTATCGGGTCACTATGAATTGGACCTGACTCGATGGCAATGGGTTAGTAACATTACTGTTTTTAGAAAAGCAATGACTTGTCAAAGAAAGTAATATCACATTAGTATCTTTCCTTCGTCACCGGCTGCTCTACGTCTGGGTAGAAAAGGCTTTATAATGAATGCCAAGACAACGCTTTACGTAGGATTCCCTCCGGCCAGCTCTCAAGCGGCATCCTTCTCTGCTTTTCCATCAAAGCTTTGGGGTTACCAGGCACGCTTCGCTCTGAGCTCTTAACAGTATACTTGTTTACTCTGAAATAAATATACTAGATAAAGGACAAATCTGAAGAAGAAGCTATTTTAGTTTTGCCATGACAGAATAAATAAAATGCAATAACACAGAGTGAAATGAATGCAGCATTTAAAACACAGTGTCATTATTTACAAAAATAATCCATACTGTTAAGCTGGGCAGCTGGAAGCACTTACCTGCGTTCCTGGAGGAAGCTGAGGTGGGCAGGGAGGTGGCAAGGCTGTGTGTGTGGGGAAGGGTTGAGATCCTGAATATATATCTCACTTTCTTGCTGCCTCTCCCTTGCCACTGCAGTTGGTATTTCGAGTAAATCAACCTTTGGTTTCTTAATGCGGTTAACCCCCACCATCATTTGCATGAAATATTTATGACAAAAGACGTGATTACTGTTTCATTACTGTACTCCCTTTTGCAGCTGTAGAAAAAGTTGTAGATCTGTAACCAGGAGCAGTTGTGTTATAAAGCATAGCTCATAGAGAAGGCACTGTGGTTGTCTTGCCAATACCGAGGAGAATAAAGTTTACATTTCCACTTCCTGTCATTCGCCCAGCTCTTCCACCCCTCCCCAGACTCCCCTCCAAGAAGTCTTTCTACTCTTAGCTGTTGAATAGTCTTTAAGGTGCACTTTGAGAACCAAACCACTTACATTTGCTAGTTTTCAAGTTCTGAAACGGCCCGTCCATCCCACCAATTTCCCTGGTAACGATTCTGTATAACCAGGACAACAGCTTTAATTCCAAGTTCAAAGAGATACTGAGGAGGTGTCCAGGCAAAGTGCAGAGAAGGGAATCTATTGCCTATCTTTCCATAAAGGCTTTGCCTTGCTAGGGGTCCTCCCTGTTACCTGCTGTGCCCCCTTGCAGCCAATTCCTGATGTTTCCTGTTGGTTAAGTTTAGTGAACAGCTGATTTACTTCACTAAGTTAGCATACTGGCAAATAAAAGAACAATTGAAACAAACAGGGGCCATTTAGAGTGGCAGCCTTCTAATTTCAGAAACTATAAAAATGAAGCAGAAAAATAAAATCATTGGAGCTGCTAGGATCAGACATTTGCCTGTCACTTCAACATGCCATTTAGCACACCGGCTTCAGACTTCTGGCCAGGACACCAGTCAAATGCCTGTAAAAAGATAATGAAAAGAAGAGAGATCTTCTCTGCATGCCATCATTAAGTCCGTTATTGCTGGAGCCTTATTCTCTTCATGCACATGGTGTTCCTGTAGGTAGAATAAGATTAATAACTGTTGACGTTTATTGAGCTGTGGCTTTTTAAAAATTTTTCTACATAGAGTCTTTCACAGAATAAAACTTTGAATTTTGATGAGGTAAATGTATCCAGTTTTTCTTTTATGTACCACACTTCTGGTGTTAAGTCTAAGACCTCTTTGCCTTGCCCTAAATCTTGAAGACCTTTTTCTATTTTTTCTTTCTAAAAGTTTTATAGTTTTACATGTGAGTCTGTGATCCATTTTGACTTAGTTTTTGTATAAATTGTTAGATTTACACCAAGGTTGGTCTCTACTATTGAGCCCACTCAGCAAGTTTTTGTTTTTGCTAACCTGTTTTCAGTTCTATAATTTCCATCTTTTTGTCTTGTATGACATATTTGTCTGCTGAACGTTTCTACTTTTTCATTTGTTTCAAGAGAATTGGTAATTGCTTGCTAAGACATTTGTATGCTGGCTGCTTTAAAATCCTTGTCAGATAATTCCAACATCTGATTCAACTGATCATTTTGTCTTTTCTCATTCAAATTGTGATTTTCCTGGTCCTTGGTATGACATACGATTTTTAAAAATTGTGTCTTGGACATTTTGGCTATTATGTTAGGAGAACTCTGAGTCTTATCTAAATCTTCATTGTAGCAGGCAGTCACTCTGTTCAGATATAGCAAGAAGGCGCAGGTCTACTTTTGTAGGCTGTGGTTCCAATGGCAATTTAATTCTCAGAGCGTTTGCAGTGCTGTTTTGGTTTGCTTGAGATCTGTTGCTACTGGTGCTCCCACTGGTCTCTGCTGGTGCACCTGAGAGGAGAAAGGAGCTTCCCCAGGCAGGGTCATTTGGTGCCTCTAGCGGGGGAAAGCCTCTGGTCTGCAGGGACAAAGAACATCTGCTGTCTGGCATGTGGCGTCTCTTAAAGGGGAGGAGAGCACTTCCCCTTGATATCTATTGCCTGCCCAGCTCCCAGCTGAGCCCCATGCCGGTGGCTCACCTAATGTGGTCCAGGGACTCCTCCTCTTCAATCCCAGAGAGGAATGAGCTTACCTGGGCTGCTTTCTATTGCTAGGTTGCGGGGGTCAGGAAACACCAGGTATGGGTTCCTTCTTCTGTTGGATGGGGGTACATAGATGTGTGTTGTTCCTTCAGTCCTGAAGTCACAAACTGGCTCACCTTTTTATTACCACTCTCTTGCTTGTCTCTTGTGTTATTCCCAGAGCTTATATTTGTATTCATTAGGGAGAAGCAGGGAGAAACAAGTCCTTGCCATCTTGTTTGGACTGGAAGTCTCCCTTCACTTAAAAAAAAAAAAAATCAAATACACAACAATATAGGAGATAGTTTATTAATTTTTTAATTTGCTGATGTATTTAAATGAGAAAGGCAATAAGGATATCCCTCCACCCCCGAATTTCTTTCAGAGCTTGCTTGGTTGGACATAAAACCAAAAAAAACCAAACCCATTGCCGTCGAGTCAATTCTGACTCATAGTGACCCTACAGGACAGAGTAGAACTGTCCCATAGGGTTCCCAAGAAGCAACTGGTGGATTCGAATTGCCAACCTTCTGGTTAGCAGCCTAATGCTTAGCCACAGCGCCACCAGGGCACCTGGCTGGACATAGGCAGCAGTTAAAAGAAAGGAGGAGCCAGATGCCCACAAGGTAAAGAGAGCTAGTGGCCAATGTGGAGACTGAATACTGGCTGGTACCAGTCCTAGCTCAGCTCCCAACAAATATGTTAATTATAAGCTTCCATTTTCTCTTCTGTAAGACGAGCAGTTTGGCTTAAATAAACTTTGGGTTCCCTTCTAGCTCTCATATGTATAAGCTGAAGTCCATCTCTTTTGCATTTAGCTAAGTAAGAGTGATGGACCAGGATTCTTCCATAAATTTCTCCCAGAAGTTAAGGCAACCTAGGTTTGGGGAAGACAGGATATAGAGACCAATCTGGAACAGAACTTGTCGTTGCACCAGAATCACAATTTGATCACTTGTTCAATAACTATTTCTTTGTTCATCCATCACTAATTAATCAAGATGTTTTGGATGCTTACTCTGTGCCAGTATGGTCCTAGGTTCTGAGAAAAGTTTAAAGTAAAACGTAAAAAGCAAAACGAGACTGAGTCTACCCACAAGTTTGCTCAGCCACTTGTTTGATAATATCTGGCAATAAATACACATTAAATAATGTGAATGAGTAATTTGAGAGGCTAAGCATTGAATATCATCAGGCTCCATATGCAAGAGATCAACACTGATTCTCAGGAAATCTGGGACCTTTGTTTAAACACAATAAATCACAAAACCTTAGACCTGTTTGCACTATTTGGCCTTCAGGAACAAGCTCCAAATGTGATTCTACAAGCTTTTTTTTAAACAAGTTAAGCAAACATGAACTCAAAGTGCTGTCATCTCATGTCTGTTATTATGCTGTGTAATCAGAAGAGAAAATTCTAGCTCGCCTCTTCCCTGTGAAGTGGCCAGTTAGGCAAGAGGCCCGTTTCTGACATTTATACCTGAGACATTTACAGAATCTCAGGATTCAACACTTTGTAGACTCTCTTGCCTGGTGAGTAGCAGATATCTCATTTCCTAGCAGCTTCAGGCTGATACTGTGAGCTCTGAGAAGCAGGTAACCAGATTGCTCTTGGTTCCAGAATCATAGACTCTTAGGACTAAAAAAGACCTTAAAATTAAAATAAGCAGCAAGCATAGATTAAATTATAGAATATACTTAACAGGGAAAAATTACAAGCAATGTAAACATTTAGCAAAACAAACAGCCGCGTAAGATTTTTAGTTGGTCTGCTGGCTAAGGCCACTGCCAGCATCAGACCTCATAGATGGAAATGCCGAGAAGATCAGGACAGGGAAGGGACTCGAGAAAATCATTTGATCCAACTGTCTGATTTGCAGCTGAAGAATATGAGGACCAGAGGATTTTCCCAGGTCTACTAGTTACCTGGTCTCAATCTGAGGGCCACAAGGAGCATGGCCCCCACCCCCAAGAATCTTTCTGGAGCCTCTTGTCTCTTTTCCTTTGCCTCTCACATCTTCTCTGTCTCTGCGTTTGTTCCTCCCTACTTTTTCTATCCCTCAGTTTCTATCCCTCCACATTGTCTTCTAGCTACCTCTGCCACTCTTGCTGTCAAAGAAGTCTTGTACACTGTTGGAGTAGGAACAGAATGAGTTTTATTGAGGAACAGACAACTCGAGTTGGGCAGCACAAAGCAAAAGTGCAAAGTGCTCTGCCGCTCTGATGAAAAAGCAGAACTTTTATACAAAAAGTTCAGTATGACTAAAACC